TGCTTCCCAAAGATAACATCACAGCATCTGCACGAACCAGACCACCATCGCCACTGCTCGAACGCGTGCACACCCAACGTGAATGGTGCAAATTTCTTCTTTTTTTTTTTCTTTTTTTTTTTTTCCTTTTTTTCCTTTTTTTCCTTTTTCCTTTTTTTCTTTTTTTCTTTTTTTTTCTTTTTTTTTCTTTTTTTTTCTTTTTTTCCTTTTTTTCTTTTTTTTCTTTTTTTTCTTCGTTTTCTTTTTATTTTCTTTTTCCTTCTTTTTTTCTTTTTTTTTTCTCTTTCTTCTTTTTTTTTTTTGTGAATGGTGCAAAACTCACTGCTCAAGAAGAACAACATCAAGACGACGACGACGAAGAAGAAGAAGAAGAACGAAGAATGGTGAATGGTGAATGGAGAACGGAGAAGAAGAAGAATTAAAGACGTGATTAGGGGAAGGCAACAAACGTCGACATGCGATTTGCATTGCATTGCATGGCATGGCATGGCACACAATTGAAGCCTCCGGACCGGATGTAGAATGGAGTGCAACGCTTGTTTGTTTGCTAGCGAGAAACAAGAGGACTGGATGTAGGATCACACCCACCCACCTTTGTCGTTTGAGAGCGGAACAACAGATAACTGAAAGTGTCTCGGATATGTCCGAGGACGAAAAGCAGCGCATAGCTGAAGTACGTGGTCAACGCCGTGAAATATGGAATCTCAATCATTTTGGCTGGCCTTATTGCCCGTCTTCCGCTTGACAAACCACAGCCAACTCCCTCGCTACCTTTCTCAAACTCTCCCCCTCTCCCCCCCCCCCCCCCCCCCCCCCCACCTACCACCTCCAGACTTACTTCCTTCCCCTTGCCGACCCCCCTCTCTCCTTCTCCGTCTATATTCGTAAACACCTGGGAAAGAACTTGCAAACCACCTCTCTCCTTTTCTCCTGTGCTCTGGGTATTATCGAGATGCCTCTACGGCTGACTTAAACCACCACCACCACCTCCTCCTCCTCCTCCTCCTCCTCCTCCTCCTCCTCCTCGTCGTCGTTGGCCGCCTCTCTACCGTCTTCTCAATCTGATGTCTACGCCAGCCTGTCTCCCCGATTTAAATTCTCCTCCTCCCCCTCCTCCCCCTCCGCCTCCTCCTCCTCCTCCTCCACACTTCAATTTCCTCCCTGTCGCGGGCTGGTTAAGGCTACCTGCCTCCCTCCCTGGTGCGCAATCCCACCCACACACTTTGCCTTCCCGTTATACGACCCCAGCTCTTGTCTGCCTCTTTGGCACTACCCCCCCCCCTCCCCCCGCCCATTCCTACCTTGCACTTCTCTCTGCCAACGCGCCAACTGACTCAACCCTCGCCAGTTCGAATCCTGACCGTTCTTTCTTGCCGTTTGCTGCCGTTACCTGCCGTTGTCTGCTGTTACGTCACGAGAAAGGTAGTAACACAAGCTACGCGCCAAAATGGTACTGGGTCATAGCTGCGGCATATATCAGCCTCACCGACTTTCACCACCAGCGTCACCAGCCTTCCTGTGGTTCAAACTACCCGTAGAAGTCGGCAAAGCTCGGGAGCACCAGTATAAGTAGGAGCATTCAGAAGACAGGTATACCGCAGCCTGTATTCTGGAGGATCAAAAGAGAGAGAGAGAGAGAGAGAGAGAGAGAGAGAGAGAGAGAGAGAGAGAGAGAGAGGGAGGGAGGGAGAGGGAGAGAGGGTGGCAGGGGCAGACGGACAAAGAGTTTCCCGTAATGGCTTATAAATGAGCTGTCAATGCCATCACGTGGTAGATTGCATCTCAACTCCTCAAGCATGCGAAAAGTTGGTTGTGTCCTTGGGGACATCCGTCAAAATTGGAACGATACAGAGAAGGGTAATTAGCAAATGGCCCCTGCGCAAGGATGACACCCAGAAACCGACAAGTTGGTTCTGTGTCTCTCTCTCTCTCTCTCTCTCTCTCCCCCCCCCCCTTTCGCCCTTTGGACCTCGCTCCCAATTGCTTTCCCTCTGTTCGCTGACGAAGCAACATGCGTCGGGTCGACATCAGCAGGCCTTGGACGTTTCCTCGATCCGTCTCTTTTTCGGCGAGGTCCCACGAGTTATACTTTTTCGTTTGATTTGTTTGCAGGGTTCGAACTCACGTCGCCCGCCGCTGACGTAGAGCGGGAGGATCGTCACTTCGCGCAACTATTCCCAACAGTTCCGCCGAAGCCCGCGTCATATTTTCGCCGGCGGGCGGCGTTTCGGCGGGTACCGCTCCCGCTAATGCGACGCGGTGGTACGGAGAGGACTTTTGTGAATGTACAGCACCAAAATTATGTTGGTTGTGTCCTTGGGGACATCCGTCAAAATAGACCACGTTCATTCGGCAAAGTAATTTTGGTGAGTAATTTCGGTCGATGACACCATTTCGGGGTTTGAAGTTGCAGCTTAGTACACCCCTTTTGTTGTTGCGGTTTGGTTATTTTAGGCGTTTTGTTTTTGTGGTTTGGTTATTTTGCGTACGCCCGCCGTACGCGCTGAGAACGTGGCCGTCACCTGAGAGCGTGGGCGTCAAACTTCCTGCTAGCGCGCCGTGATGGCAAGCAGCGACTCTTTTTTTCCTTTTTTTTTTTTTTTTGACAAAAGTCATCAGCTTTCCATTCCAAACTCTGCAATTCGAGGCCGGGGACCTCACAATTCAACCCGGGTTATCGGACAGCATCAGCTAGCTTAGCATACAGGCACGAGCCTGGGAAGAGGTACCAATAATAACTTAGTATACTAGGGTCTACTGTGAAATGCTTCTAAGGGTCAGATCCCACTACCCTGGATTAGTCATTTTTCACCCTCGATTACGAAGATCAACGGTCAGAAATGAGCAATAGGGGCTAATGGGATCTGGCCCTAACCTGTGCGTGAGTCTCGATTTCCTGTCTTGAGGTGGCACCCCGTATTGGTTCTATTTCCGTCGTTCCTTGTGTCCAGGTGACTAAGACTGCGTCCTGGACCCAGAACCTAATCTATACTACTTCTGGGACTAACTCGGCCCAGAGGACACAGTCCAAAGCCTACTGGCCCTCTCCTAATGGCCCACTGCGGCCCTAGTCAACCGACTGCCCTGGTTGCTGCTAAGTTTCCATCTAATGTCCGTCTGCTTTGCTCTTCCAACCCAAATTCAACACCCATCTAGAGATAGTTAGGCCACGGCTGGAGTGCACTGCAGCCAGCCGGTTTCCGCGGGCCCACGTTCGGAGGAACCAAAGTTTCTGTTTTCTGCTGCCCCTCCAGGCTTTTGTCTTTCTCCGCCAATCAATTTTAATCGCGTGCTTGAGCCCAGTCTTGATCCTTGCCTTGATCTCCACGTCTGACATGGGGCTTTTCTCGAATCTTGCCCTGTTTCTGTCAGTCCAAATGACTTCGCAGATTATGCCCCTTACTACGTGGGCAACATACCCCCACCCCTTCTTCCCTTGCAGGTTACAGGGCAGAAAGCCCAGCAGTGCCCGACGCTCGCCCCAGTCCAGTTGCCCGCCTCCCATCTCCTTCCAGTGGTTAGCCCACCACAGCCAAATGTGTTTAGAAGCCGGGCAGTCCCACCACAGATGTCTTGTGGACTCAAAGGGCCAACGACATCTGGTGCAGCCCAGCTCAACCACCACTCCTCGACTCAGCAACCATACAGCAGACGGGGTTACCATCAAGGACAGCAGCCACAGTATGCTTGCCTGTTTTCCGTTTGGGAGATCGCACAAAGTCTTCCACAAGAGCTCAAACTGAGCGGTGGATACTGGTAGGTTACTTCCTAGCACGGCTGACCGTCTGGATACTGCCACTGATGACGGTTTTCTGGAGGGTCTGTTGGCGAGTGTTTTTTTTTTTTTTGAAAAAGGCCCTTGTGATATCCCTCTATCCTGGTGGTGGTAAGAGAACCGTCAGAATGGAGGGCTTACCTGTCGGGCTGCTCCATCTATTGGCGGGGAGCGGCACCTGCTGGAAACCGGGTCCAGCGTCCCATTGATACATCGTGTAGCACTGAGATTGGTGTTTGTGGTTTCCCGGGGCTGTGATTATTATTGACTCATCCTGGGGCTCCGTTATCCCATGGATCTGCTAGAATCACCCTTCCCTTTTTAGGAGCACCCCTTGTCTATTAACCCAGCCCTTATTTCTGCAGCCCCCCTATTTGACTAATGCTATGTCTGTGTCTGTCAACCCTTTATGTTCTATTCCTCTTGACTTCTGGCTGAACATTGTTTTACCCAGATGTATTTGTGATGGTGGCCAGAAGAAGGTGTCGTTAGCGACCCTTGACAGGTAGCACTACACAGCAGTTTGAGCTGCTTGCCTACCTGGCAGCCTACACCTAGCTTAATCTTTTAGCATCCCATACCTTGCCTCTTGACTTCATAACTCTGATGTTGTCGGCTGCGTCTATGTTGGCTCTCTGCATCTGCTTGGCTACCTGCCCGCCTACGTCTAGCTTAACGTTTAACATAGTATACATTGTCTCTTGTCTTCTTATCTCTGCTCTTGTTGGCTGCCTATGGTTCACTGTAGGTGATAGTATGCTCTGGTCTCATGTGTGCTGTCAGGATTACTTGGATCAGATCATGATAGCCAAATACTGTTCTGTTTATCTTCATTCGCCCAGCATTTCTCTTGTTGTCTCATTCTTTGCTATCAATACTATCACCATGTTCCAGAGCAATGTATGTAGGCCAGCACAACCTGCCCGTTCCCCAATCCCCACCCTTGGAACTTAGTGCCTTAAGGTATGGTTTCTATTATTCATGTGGGTTGTGTTGTGTAGGGGCAACATTTCAGCGTGTATGTGCATTTCACTGAGTGAGGGCATGTAATTCTCGAGGGTCCTATTCTCTCTCCCATCGCCCACCAGCCTGTGACGAACCACTTTCTGTGCGGTGCGATTTTCTGCGCGACGACAATGAGGGTTCCTAAGATGGGAAGGATGGGCCAATTACGGGAAGATTGGGATCGCAGGGAAAATTGCATCGGTGTCCTCGCTTCTTCATCTTTTTGTGTCGCTTCTTTTTGGATGGTTGGGTTCAGGGCTGGGCAAGTTCTAGGATGATCGGTTGAGTGGCGCGCCGTTGTGCGCGCGATTAATAATGGTTGACGTCGTCTCTTTTCGTTTTTGCTATCAAGTTTTAGGCGCGGAGATCGCGAGGGAATTTTGCTTCGTTCCTTTTCAATTTTCTTTTCTAAATTTTGTCGAGCCTCGACGACTCCCGGAATTTCAGACTTTCTTTTCGGAAGTTGTGCTTTTCGCATTTTCGCATTAGATAGGAATTTTGGAATTTTGGAATTTAGGATTTCCTTTGCCGCGCAACGCCTTCTGCTTGCGTGCTTCTTTTTGCGGCTGCAACGGAACTCTGATTAGTCGGCGCCCTTAATCTTGCAAGTAACTATAATTTTTGGGCAGGCGCCATTGTAACTGTATCTTCTTTCTTGAGCTTCGTCTTTCCCGCTCTTTCTTTCCCTCTTGCTGTGTCTAGTCAGCCCGCGGTCTGCATGCTCGGATCGATGCGTGGAGAGTGGCTACGTCCGCCACGCTGCGATCTAGCCATGCAAAACGTAGGCGCTCCCTCCTCTGATCTTCTTTCTAAGTCCTTGCAATTCCGTGTTCTTCGCGCATGCATGCACGCTATAAATTCCGGTTGCGCGATTAGATAACTCTCTTAACCAGTTGCTGGAAGCTCGGGGAGCGCGATCAGTGAGGGTCAGCTCACGAGCGAAGTAAGAGGTGAGTTGAAGTGGGAGTCGGGCGACCCGACGAGCTAGTGCCGAATGCGCGGGGTTGACGCTTGGGGCTACGACGGACTGTAGCGCGCGGGCGAAACTGATGGCTGCAGGAGGACTAAGCGGGGTGACGACTTCGTGGGTTGGTGCGCGACGATGGACTGTCC